TCTTCAGTAACTGATTACTGTTGATGCCTTGGTACCTATACCTATGTGAACAAGTGTCATGTTTTGTATGTATTGTGGTATTAAGTGAAAATAACAAAAACAGAGGAGCTGCTCACCAGACCACCAGGGTTTGGGCAGTGAAGATTAGGCCTGAAAGTTATATAGTCACCATCTGCTTGAACCATAGAAAAAGTGTTATTTTTTTCAGTTCATGAATAAATGAGAACCTCTGTACCCTGAGGTATACCAGGCTCCCATGAAATCCTGCATGAGATCCTTGTTGTTTCAGTCTTCACTTCTGTGGCATTAAGTTCAGTCATACAGGAACGAGGGGTCTGTGATCCTTCACAGAAGGTCTTCGTAGCCAGAAACTGCGTGGAAGTGCGCTGCAGTCCCAGAGCAGGAGCCACGTCTTCACACAGAAGGGTGAGGGATACGGAACGGACCGCCCAGCCCGGCGGGCTTTAATGAAAGGGATGGATGAGATCCTTGAATTAGTTACTGTACGATCTATCAAACGGGCTTCATGGGGCAAATTGCCCTCATCTTGACTGCACCTCTCTTGTGTTTTCATACAGTCAGAGCTGCTTGTATTCTAAATTCACAAACTGATATTAGCAGCCTTCATGCTGGCTGCTCTAAGGGTGTCTAAATGCCGTAAGCAGGGCAGAGTTCTCAACAGCACATTGCACTGCAGACAGTTGCCCTGCAGCGAGAGGAGTGCTTGAGAGTCTTCTGAGCTGATATACTCTCTGTACCTGTTCCCTGAGGGCGTTCCCATGAAACATGCATTGTTATGCCATTAATGGGTCTGTAATTAGATATCCACAGGCTTTATTAGCTTTCTACACTGACTAAATTGCCTGTTTAAGAAAATTAGTTCCGAGTGTTTGGATTTTATAGCTGAAAGGTGTGTTGATTAATTAGGTTTTTTTTTTGTAAAAACAACAAAAAATCGAGTTATTTACCATTTTAGACCTTTCCAATTTAAACGTTTAAAATAGTTTTTTGAATTCTGTACCTGCTGTGGAGCAGGAGGGCTCAGCGGGCACCGTCCTCGCAGCTGGATCCTGGCCGCATGTCTGGGGATCCCCAGTGCCAGTCCCAGTCCCAGTGCCAGTCCCAGTCCCAGTCCCAGTCAGCTGCCAGAATGAGCAGCGTCAGGGCTGCGTCTGGCCGGGAGGTACCACAGGGCAGCAGGTCCCAGGTCCGGCTGAGCAGCTGAATCACTGATGCTTTGCCTTTCATTGATTTGCTTGCTAAGATTTTTATTTACCTGTTTCTGCTTTTAATCCGTGGCTTAAAAATGTCATTACCACAAGCACATTGTTTTCACAGACAGAGCTCAAGGAGTTCTGTAAGGTGGAATGGGCCAAAATTCCTCATAACTGCTGGGAGAGGCTGATGAATGATTAAAAGAAACATTTAGCTGCAGTCTCTTCTGCTCCTGGGGGAGCCGCCACTGAGTCTCCTGGCTTGCATGCTTTGACACTCATGGATAGTGAATGTTGCATCATTTGAGGATAAATACTGGGAGAGTATCATGTTTTGTGTCATTTGTTTCATCGGATTAATTGTATATATTATTAGGATTTAGATTTAAAACTAATGACATTTTTGGTTTCTATGTGAAATATATAAATCCTAAGGCATTCTCAAACTTTATTTAGCACTGTATAGTATATACACAACTTTCTCTAGAAATTCAAAACAAGAAATGAAAAGAAAGAAGTAGATAATAGGATAGAAAATGGAAAACCCGTGATTGCAAAAGTATTGCAAAAGTACTTGTATCGTATCGTTGTGACTAAATCAAATGAATTTATGTGCACTAAAGTAACTTAACATAGTTTAGTGTCTGTGTTGAGTAACTATGGTTCATACAATTTCACAATAAATACATCAGTCTCTTAAAGGATCTTCAGTCAAGTAGTGAATTTCAAGCAAAGATTGAACCACGAAGACCAAGGAGATTTCAATACAACTAAGGGATAAAGTTGTATTAAGACACAGATCAGGAAAGGGTATAAAACACTTCATGTTTTAATATCTGTTGGAGCATGAAGAAGCAGATTATTCAGATGTGAAAGGCACCCTAGAGATGTTCTAGATCAGGCTGTTCTCTCGGCTAAGCTGCTGGGCAAGGAGTTAATTGGTCAGTGGCTGAGATGGGAGAACATTTCCAGGAGTCAAGAATATCTCAGGAAATCCACATAGGAGACTTGTGTAGACATAAAAAACAATTTTGCATGGAGTTTACAACTAAGCACCTACTATCTATGATACTTCACACATGTGATGTACAGTTTTGTTGTCAGACAAAACAAAACTGCTTCTGCCCTAAAATCACCTTTCAATAGGACACTGATCCAAAGCATACATTGAGTCCTGTTGAGACAAAAACCTGAACACAACTGCTCTTAAGAGGTCCTCATATACCTTGAGAGAGAGCTTCAGCAAACCTGAAGAGCAGGCAGAAATTGCACCAAGCCAGTAGCACAAATGGAAAAGAATTACAATAATAATTGCTATAATTATA